CTAACCATTGTTAGCAATCCACAGTTGTAAAGTTGTATCTATATCTCTAGATAGTAGTATTAACAGCATTGGCTTCTCTATGAAACAAATTGTTTTTCAGTAATCCCTCTTGAAGGCAAACATCATTGTAAAATGGGAGAAATTTAATTAAATGGGTAATATTTTCACAACTAATGTTCTGTTATGTAGCAATTTGACAGCATGCTTTTGTAATATTATTTCCTCCACCATTCTATTTGCAAAGTTTTATAGTGTTATAGAGCATTGAGGAATGTAATGGATATTACGCTTGCATCCCCTTCAGGAATAACAGAGACCTTGCCCTAGCTTCTGGGAGTGCCGCCAGCAGACAGGCCTCATCTGCCAGCCCCCTTTGGGGGTTGCCACAGCTTCAGAGAGCCATCCCCCGGCCCCCACGACCATGCTCCTTCCCTCTCAACCGTATCTGATGACTGGTTGATGCAGGCATGTAAAGGCCCTCTCTCCCCAACCCTGTCAACTCTAAAGGGCCTTGACATCCTCATAACTCCCTGCAGGGATGTCTGAGGCATCTGGTGTGTCTGCATCCCAGCTCAACTTCTCCCTTTGCCCATTCTTCCCTTCCCTTCCACAGGTGTTGACCCCAAGAGCACTCCTGGACAGGAAATATGATCTCCATCTTCTTTGGGCCACAGAGACAAGAAGCAGGAGATTTTGTCATGCTGAAGAGCAAGGCTTGAAGGTATGTTGCAGGTGTTTTCCTATCTGTAGAAAAGTGGGATGTAAAGGATGAGAAACAAATCCTGAGGGCCTAGCTCTAGGTATGTGTCACTCAAGTTCTTGCTTGGTGGTAGTGCAAATTAAAAACTACTACATATGCTATTTATTCCCTCTTTCTTGTCTTTTTTCCTTGTCCCTTCATCCTTCCATCTCCATTATTTTCCCTCCTCAACCCCATCTGCCATCCATGAGAAGAAACAAGAAGCCCATGTGGCCTAAACATATTCTCCAAACTGGCTACCACACCTTCCTCTCTCTCCTTTATGCACAGAATTTCACCACTGAAGCCATTCTTTTGGATAAAAAGCATGAAGCTCTTATTCAGATACATGCATGCTACATGGGGAAAAGGGCTCTGAGAGCCTTCATCTATTTTGATAATTAATCTTTGCCTATTTACAGGGATCTTTTTTTTCTGGTTAATCAGGAAAACTTCATTATGAAGTGAAGCAAACTTGGCTGAAGGCAGACGGCAAATAGGACAGGTATGTTTCAGTGGGATAGAAGGGCACCGGATATCAGTCAGAAGGTCCAGGTTTTCTTGGGATAGCTTCTCTCTGGGAATGCATGATGGTGTAAAAACAATTACCACCCAAAGCCGAGGAGACTGCCCAAACTGCAGGCACCTCTGAAAAAAACTCTGCCTTCTCAATCTTACCCACTGTCTGAGTTACCAAAAAGCTCCCAGCTGTCAGATAAAATGGAAACTCTTCATACATCGTCTGACTCACCTATTGGGTGACATTTTTTATTGTGGACCATCCTTTCCTTTTAGGGTACCTTCTCTCTTGACCTCTGGCTCTCACTTGTCTGCAAGCTTCCATCTGCCCCCTGTAGCTCCTTCTCAGGCTCCCCTGGCTTTTCCTCTGGACTCCATCCTGTCTTTCTTTTTCTCATTTTACCCCTTTCCTAATGAGAATTGATGAGCTTCTGAACAAGTTTGGGAGCAGTGGGGATGAAGAGGAGGAGATAAAATGTGAAGATTTCTAGGAAGGGGTTTTAACTCACTCAGGTCAAACATGGGGGGAGAAAGCAGCCCCTGAGCTTCCCTTTCTCCAGTCCACCCCTCAGTCAGAGTGAGAAGCCCCTCCTTGGGATCCCACAGCCAAACCCTATGATCATGTGATTGTGATTGTGGATTTACTTGTCTGTCTCTCTTGTTGGACTGTATAGTTCTAGAGTGTAGGAGGTTTCTGGTACCTCTCCATAGCTGGCATCTGTTACTGAGTAAACAGAGGAATGAATGCCGACAATATGTGCAGACAGTAATGTAGCAAAGTCCATATATACTTAAAAGGGGCTTTCCCAAGATCCACAAATGTTTGTCCATGTATCAATGTTCCAATAACTCCTCACTGACTACAAAAGAAAGTCAAAACATCATCCTCTTCTTCAACTTCCTTAAAATCTTCTTTACTTATAGTCATTAACACTGTTTAGCAATTGTTCTGCTTATGTGAGGAAAGGTTAGGGTCATTATCTTATAGATTTTTTATCTAATATATCATGTAGCACAGTGTAGCTGCTCAGTAAATAATGGGTTGATGAATGCATTGATTACTCTGAACATAGATCCTCAGCTCCAGCAAGGTGGGTGGGTTCCTCCCTGTCTCCAGAGGTGCTCCCCACTCCTCCTTCTATTCACATCCCACCAGCCAGCCTGCTCAATCCTCCTTTCCCATCCTATAATCAATAACACCCATGGAACTCCCAAAACACACTTGTACTTATCCACACACTGTATGTCTTTCATTTCACCCACATGATCATGTGTTCCTAATGCCATGTGACTTCAGCTAAACTATAAGTTCCTGGAGGGCAGGGAATGTGCATTTTTAATGTTTATATCTCTCCCTCTACTATTCCTTTCATAGTGCTTTACATGGAACACTCAAGAAATACAAAACTAACTCATTTAAATTAGTTTTTAGGGCCGACCCCGTGGCTTACTTGGGAGAGTGTGGCACTAGGAGCGCAGCGGTGCTCCGCCGTGGGTTCGGATCCTATATAGGGATGGCCCTGGTGCGCTCACTGGCTGAGCGCGGTGCGGGCAACACCAAGCCAAGGGTTGCAATCCCCTTACCAGTCACAAAAAAAGAAAAATAAATAAATAAATTAGTTTTTAAATACTCTTTTAAAATACCTCAAACTTTAGTGCCACCAAGTTAATGTAACCATTCTTCTTCCAGAGTTAGAATAATGTACTCCAGGGATCTAAAACCTTGCATCTGGGACATTTAGGATTCCAAATAAGAACATGACTCCAGTTCCTGGAGTGGAGGTTGGGGACGAGGAGCTGCCTATCACTTCACCCCTGTACCTTTTCTGTTTGTTTAAATTACTGTACTGGTTTGATCACAATCATAACATTTTTTTCAGGCTTATGACATTTTCCCCCATTCTGAATATAATTGATGCTGCCAACCAATATTTCCTGAAACAACAATCATAGTCCCCATATCCAAGTTGCTTCATTTTTATGTTTAAATTCCCGCACTGCAGCCTGTTTGTACTAGATACATAGATAGTTAAGTAGAACCCTTTAAGAGAAAATGCATTTAAATCTTCCTCCCTTTCCTATCCTTTGAGGAAGGGAAAGTCAGAATTCCTAAAATTGAAGGGGTAGGTGGTAAACCAGAATTCCATGCTGCCAAGCTCCATATAGCAAGACAAAGATACCTATAACCTGGCTTCTCTCTCCTCAGCTGTCTAACAACACCAGAGAGAGCTGTGACCCCACATCCCAAAATAACGCTATTGCAGAGTAACAGGTTTTTCTGTCAGGTCTGATCATGAACCTGCAGCAACCGCGGCTGACAGTCTCTGCAGATGAGCCTTTTCTAGTAAGGCTGGGTAAATTTCACTTCCAGCCCCAAACCAGGAAGTGCCCTTTAAGATGAGTCGGAGACAAAAGCAATCCAGCCTCAGAAACAAAACCTGCTAGACTGCAGAAGCGCTATACGGGTTTAAATTCGGGACTGCTCTCCGATTTGGACTGGCACCTACAGCCTCCGCCCCATAACATATTATTAAACTTTCAAAATTGCCCCCCCCCCCCAAGGTAAGATGGCACAGAACATACACAGTGCGTGCACCCACGTACACACACACAGACCAGTATGTTTTTGTGATCGACTTCCTTATCTAGACAGTCCAGGCTTGGGCCAGATTTGAGTTGGCAAATTCTCTCAGCTAAACCAGGGCAGATCGCAGAAAAGGTGTCGAATTCTCGAGATTCTCAGGGAGGCCACGCCCGGGTCCCGCTCTGCGGTTGCACAACTGCAAGATAACATCTGGGCAAGTCGAAGGAGGAACCCCGCAACCTCTAGCCTCTCCCCCTGCCCCCTTCTGACCCACAGTCAGTCCTGGGGGACCGGGAGGGTCACTGGTGAAGACCGGCGGTGGAAGGTGTTAGGTTTCAGGCGGGGAGCCCGGGACAGCTACAGCGGGGGGTGCAGCCAGCAGCGGGCAGGAAGGGGAGGGCCCTGCGGGGCAAGGGGCAGCCTGGGCGCGGGCTTGGGGCTGGGTCGGAAAAGCTGCCTCACGGGCGCGCTCGCCTGCCCCTCGCTCCCTCCCTCCCTCCCTCCAGAGCTCCCCGCCCGGGCCTCCCTTGCAGTCTGGACTGCGCCTTCCCGGAGGCCCCAGGAGGTGAGTGGCGCTCCTGTCTGAGCAGCTGCGCTGGGCAATGCAGGGACCCGGGTCCCGGAGCTGCGGGCCGCTTTCCCTGGGCGTTGCCGGGCCTGCCCGGCCTGATCCTCCGTGCGCCCCTTCCTGGGCAGAGAAAGAGTTCGGGGCCCAGTGTCCGCTGCCAGGCAGGTGGCTGGAAGCGGCTGGGGATTCCCGGGCCTGGGTCAAGTGCGTTGGTCAAGTAGCGCTGTCCAGGTAGTGGGAGGGGAGCGGTCGAGAAAAGTTGGCTGGTGAGACGTGGGTGAAATGAGGATGGGGATGAAGGGGGGGAATAAAGTTCATTCAGGACCCCCAGAACGAGTGGGGTCTTTCACTGGACAGCGGAATCCTGTCATCGTATAAAGTCCGGGCCGCAGGGCGTGGCTGCCTGGAGAAATGACACCTCTTCCCTGACAAGCCCGGAGCCAAACAGGGCGGGGCGGGGCCAGGCCGGCGGGGGCGGGGCCTGCTTCGGGCCCCGCCTCCAAATGCCTTCCCACCTGGCAGCTGCGGGACGTCAGAGCCCAGTGCCAGCCGGGTGGGCTAGGAGGAGTGTGAGACCGGCGCTTCCAGCACAGCACCCCGCGCCCTCGCCGGATCCTCCGCCGAGGGGATCCGAGCAAGCCGGTTGTCGCCATGGCGTTCGCAAGCTGGTGGTACAAGACGGTAAATGGGAGCGGTCGTGCCTGGGCAGGACCGGGAAGGGAGTGTGCTTACTTTGCTCTTCTGAGCGTGTGGACGAACTTTTGTCCGAGGTTTAGCTGGGAAGGGTGGGGACCGGGTGCGACCTCGTCTCAGACCTTCAGGTTAGGCTCCCCGTGAGGCCGGGGACTCACCCTCCTGTGGTATGTGCGAGCGCGCCCGGGCGTGCGCGTCCGTGAGAGCAGATGCAGCAGGCTCAGCCCGCGCTCACAAGTGGAACAGGGACTGTTCCTGGAGGAATTCCGCCCCTGGAGGAGGATACCTCGGTGAACTCGGACGCAGCTCGCAAGAGCTCAGGTCTAGGGTTTGTTTTTACCCCTAAGTAAAGCTTAAAACTTTATAAGAAGGTTGTTGGACGTACATTCTCCAACGAAAAGGAGGAGAGGCAACCGGGGTCGGGGCCAAGGAGAAAACCTGAAACACTAACAAACAGGAGCAATTGAGATCAAGACCATTGTGTATGCGTGTGTGTGTGCGTGTAGGTGTGTGTGTGTGGTGGGGGGGAGAGATGCTGTGTACTTTGGGTGAGGGACAGATACGTTCAATTTGTTGAGTGCATCTGCCCTACCAGTCAGGTTTGAGATCCTGGCAAGCTCGTACTTCTAATGTTTTGGAACCAGGAAGCATGATTTAACATCAGATTGCTTTCCAAAAAAAACCAAAAAACAAAAAACATACAAAACCCACAAAAGTTTTGTTGACAGAGAGATCCAAAACATTTATGTCCCATTGCTTTATGATGAGAATTTTAAAAAATTAGGTATACCTCTCTCTCTCAGCATGTGGTTTTGGGAAAAACAAAGATGTAATTAGACAGTCTTTGGAACTAGAAACCTTATGTTGGAATCAGGAAACTGTTACTTATCAGCCGAGGGACATTTATTGAGCATCTATCATGTGCCAGAGAGTGTACTAGCCTCTGAATACACAGTGGAGAACAGCAACGAATACTTCTTCCCACATGGCAGCGGGTCAACCTTTTTGAACCTGTCTCCACATCTGTAAAATAGGAGTGATATGCACTACATAAAAATTAATGAGGACTAATTAGATTCATAAATCAAGATGCCATATACATATTCTTTTAACGATTGGGAATTCTGATTTTCCTTGAGATATTTCTTCATAAGTGTTTTCCATTACATTTTCTAGGCTTTTTAAATGAAGCATTTTATTGATGTGCTAAGAACCGAAGTTTGCTTTGAGCCATCCTTGTCCTTAGGTTCTTATCAAAATGCACCATGTGAATTACCTGCAAATATGGATGTCAGTGGTTCAGAGTTGACATCAGATTTTTCCTTCCAAACCCATGATTCCCTAAAGGAAATTATTCTGAGCTACTTGGATGAAACAGTTTAGGCATAGTCCTGTTTATGTTATGTTTAGGCATAGTCCTATTATGTTCAGGCATAGTCCAGCATTTTTTGCTAAAACCTCTCTTAAAATCCAATTCTGGAACTATTAGAAAAACTTTTTGCTAGTAGGAGCCTTCTAGAATCAGCAACATGTCTGTGATCAAGCTTTAATTTTTTAATTTACTTTTTTATTAGCATATTCATTCTTACAAATCATATTTATTCTTATCCAATCTCCCCCCCCCCCATAACCATAGATTTGTTCTCTCCGTCTGTTGGATTAACTGTTCCTCTGTTGGTTTGTTGCCTAGATGATCTGTCCAGTACTGAGACAGGTGTGATCAAGTCCTATATTATTGTAAATTAGAAGTTTCTTCAATTACTCTGGAGTGTGCTTTGTGGAGAGAGAGGATCTCTTCTTCTTTTTTTTTGGTCTCCACTGGTGCCTCAATGCAGTTGAGAGTCTGGCGTGCTATGGCTGTGACTGCTGCTATAGACCCTAGCCGCTTTTGTGGCAGCCATGGCATTTGCGGTGCTATGCTGGCCTACCTGCATGGATGGTGTTTTTGGTGTGCTCTTTACCTAGTTGCAGCTGGGTTCACCTTCCCCCAGCTCCATGCCTCATTCTAAGATGTTGTTGAGGAGCAGTTGTGGAGGGAGAGGGGAGGGGAAGATGGAGGGAAATAGGATGGGAGGACAAGGAAGAAGGGTGGTGTGTGATTGAGGTCCATGGCACTCCCCTCATTTTGGCAGGGGAGACCAGGGACCTTCCAGTAGCAGATTGGTTGTTGCTGCTGGATGCAAATGTCAGGGGGGTGTGGCTGAAACCCTCAGCCCCCAACTGCCCCAGCTCAGGAGCCCCAGGTGCTTCCTGCATCTCAAGCTTTAATTTTTTCCATATGAGTGCTGCCCAATAGAAATATAGCATGAGCTACATATGTAATCTTAAACTTCCTACTAACCACATTAAACAAACGCAAAAAGAAACAGGTGATCTTAATGCTAATAATGTATTTTATTTAACACACTATATCCCAGATATTATTTCAAAATGTAATCGATGTACAACGATTGAGATATTTTACATTCTCTTTTTCATATTAATTCTCCAAAATCCAATGTGTATTTTACACTTACCAAACATCTCAGTTCACACTTGCCACATTTCAAGTGTTTAATAGCCACGAGTGGCTAGTGGCTATAGTGTTGGACAGTACAGCTCTAAACTTCCTATTATTTATTTTGGCGGTGGTTGAGTGATCATAGACCATTTTGAGAATCAAATGGAAATTATGGACTGTTTTCCCACAACAAAATACATACATACACAAATACAATTTCCCATAAAGTTTCAGGGACTTCAGAGATTTCCCAAAAGCCCACCCAAAAATCCTCCAAAGGTCCATATGGCCAGTTTATAACATATATACATATAAAATACATTATATACAGTATGTTAGACCCATTGATCCAGTTGGCAGCATGTGTTCATATTGTATATATTATATATATGTATATATGCACATATTTATGTAAGTAATACTTATGTGTATAATATAGATAAATTAATATAGATTTATGCATGTATGTGTATGTCTATAAGCATAGACATATACACACATCTCAGAATACTTATGGCACATTTTACAATTAAAATATCTTTAGTGGAATCCTTTAGATAATGAAAAAGGTTGTGAATGATCTAACTTTCAAAATTTAAGCAGAATAAAATAAAATAATTAAAAGGTGTATCTAAGATATGTTTAAGAGCATGACACCTATAAAGCTAGTCTGTGAAACATTACAATGTATATTTCCACATTTCCATCAATATTATAGGTTTTATCTTCTGAAGAATTGTGTGGTTGTAGTAAAACACACACACACACAAAACTTTGAAAAGCTAGATTTGAAGAACACCTGATGATCATTGTAATGACCAAGCATGAAGAATAAATTTAGGTTACCCCAGTAATCACATTCCTGAGTCATAAATTGATTCTATTAGGCCATGTTAATTAAAGGTTTTCTTAGCCTAATTAGACCCAGGGGCCCAGTGGCAGCATGATCAAGGAGCTCAGTCTTTTGAGACACCAGCCTGGGAAGAGTGTCGCAAGTCTTCTATGGCAGGACAGACTATTTGGCTGTACTGAATTTTAGGAGTAAGGAAGGCAAAATTGTGGGGTCTGCAAAAAGGGCACAGGCTTTAGGACAGTGGAATGCAGAGGTCAAATACAACTTACTTCTCTTGGCCAGCAATCCCTGAATTAGTTTGCTTCATCTGATATTGTTCTTTAATCAGTTTAAACACTTCCCAGAAAGTTAATTATATTCTACAAGTGCTTTTTAAAGAATGATGTTCCCATCCCTCTGGGGGTGGGAACAGTGGGTGGTCATCTGAGATTCCAAGGTGGATAGGTGGGTAATTAGTTCTGAGTAGGTTTCCTCAGCAGATACAAGACTACTGTAAGCAGACCATGTTTTGTTTTTTTCTTAAATTATTTTTAAGATGGAAATCCTGTTAGTGGGATACTAAAATTCTGTTCTTCAAGTTGTCTTATTTTCTCTTCATTGAAACCTACCCAGAAAGCTTTACGGCTACCATAAAGAAGCAAATGTACTTCAGATGTCTTCCAGTTAAGAAAAATGCAAAAACTACTCCATCCAATGACCACTATTTATGTAAGTTATCTCCTTAGATGGGAGAGTCAGTTAACTCCAGAGGAAAAAGGGTCTATAGTTAGTTTCCTAAAAATGTATAGAATTCATTCTGACTATGAAATCTCATGGAACACAAAGAGTAAATTGGTAAAGATCAAAAGTGTGCACAGTTGTTTACTGTCCAGCTACTATGTGTCAGGTTCCATGCAGAGTGCTGTGGACATAAAAATTGTGTGGGTGGTTCATGCCTGGCCTTCTCTTGCATTTCTTATAGACAAAACTATATCTTAATGACTGCCGAAATGACAACAAAGTAACTATTTAAATTCTTAGGACATCTCCTTTGACTGAGAGAAAATTCAAAAAGCCTCAGTGCAGGTGGATCCCACAAGCTAATCTATGACAGTTAAGTAATCAATGCTACTCCTGAAAACTAGACAAAAATAGTGTGTGCCTTTACAGTTTCATCTTGGAATAGCCACTGGAATCTTAAAATGTTAGCAGAAAACACACTTGGGGCTCAATGAAACATAGGAATTTCAGAATTACAGCTATGCAGTTAATCCCTAATACACATGCTGTATCTTTTATAAGAGAATTGCAAAGAAAGTTATTCCTATAATTTTTAGAGGAGCAGATATCATGTATTTAAAGCTAGACCTTTCATTTTCTTAGTTTCTATAATAATCGTCCTCCCCACAACTCCTAGCTTATAGTAGGCACTCACTGATTTTTTTTTTTTTTGATAAATAAACCCTGCCTCTCACACTAGCCTTCTCTATGAGTTTGGAATTTTCAGTATTAAAACTAAGTAAAACAGCTAGGGTTTTGCCTTTGTCTCACTCTAGGGAGACAGATGTTCCTGAGATAAGGGGATTCTACATTTTTCAAAACTTTTTAGTAGAAGCATTTTTACATTTACATAGAAGAAGAAAGAATATAATGAGC